TGTGTCAGTGTGTGAATTCAGGGGCAGTGAGAGAGGAGAGGGACAGCAGTGTCTCCAGTCCAGTCAGGAGTGTGTCAGTGTGAGAGGAGAGGGACAGCAGTGTCTCCAGTCCAGTCAGGAGTGTGTCAGTGTGTGAATTCAGGGGCAATGTGAGAGGAGAGGGACAGCAGTGTCTCCAGTCCAGTCAGGAGTGTGTCAGTGTGTGAATTCAGGGGCAGTGTGAGAGGCGAGGGACAGCAGCGTCTGTAACAGGGCTACACAGCATATGAGTGTTAGAGTCCACTCCGATGTGGACACCGTTACAGCCTGCACCTCGATATTTACCCATTATTTAATTACCAACTAGTAAATTATACAGGTGGTTGAAGCAACAGAGCAGGAAGTCAGACACTCGCATCTTGAAGCCAGACCTAAACTTAAATTAATAACTAGAAGAGTACAAACAAACTGATAGAGGTCCACTGATGAGTTAGCTCTCTCATCAAATAAAATTGACTTCCACCATCCTTCACGCATTCAGTTCCCAGTGCATCTGCAGTGGACTCCAGGTGGACTGGACAAGCTGTGCACAAGGCGAAGGGAGGGGTTAATCTAGGAAATACAGGGGGAAAAAAACCCCCATCTAGAGAGCAGGCACAGCGAGGCGCATCAGGGCCAGTGTGAGCGGGGGAGGAGGACAGCTGTACCCGTGTCAACTGAGCACGTGCGCGACACACCTGGCAGCCCGAGCAAAACAAAAACAAAAACAGAGCGCCAGCGCAGCATGTGCTCTCACACACACACTCCCGGGAAACACAGCTCTGCCTCTGACGGGGTTACAGACCAACCACCCCCCCAACATCCCACACTCCCTAACTAGAGGGCAAACAGCACTTGCAGAGATCAGTGTGGAGTGGGCGATTACACAGACTTCAGGAAAAACAGTTTAACTATTAATAGACACTCGTAGGAACAGGCCTGCCTGGCCCTTTTGCAGTCTCTCCAAGTGCCGAGGACAAAAGACAGCAAGCCGTAGAGCCTCATTTCCAGCCCGACAGGACCCCAAGGAAAGGGTGTTTTTCCCCCCTATACGTTAACCTCTGTGCTCCGCGCCACAGCCCCACCCCAGCCACCCCGAGACCCCCCACATTCCACCCCGTCGGAGCAGATCCGTTTCCTGCTCTTCGAGATGAAAATCCAGATCTCAGCACCCCAACGCCATCGCCAGAGAACCACAGATAACATGGGTGGGCAGATAAG